GCACCCCTGCCACTCATAACATGGTTTGGATCCTGAACTCAGACATCTCTCTGATAGATCAGCTTTTTGAGAAAAGATACTTTTGCTGCCTAAAACTTTGTCTTAATAGTGGATTATTCCCAAATTCTCAGACCGTAACAAGTATAGGTTCAAACACATGTTTTGTAAGACATATCAGGTTCAGGAAACAGAAACTTATTCCTAACTAGAAATCAAAGCCTATCCTATAGGGTGTGGGAACTCAGAGCAACCTGCCCTGGTCTCATTGGACATACTCAGAAGTTCCTGATAATCAGACCAGACAATGGGTCCCTGGTTTATTTGGAGGATGCATGAAGATATCTAAGATTTTCCTTTGTTTCATCTAGAAGTGAAACGGGCATTTAGAAGTTGTTTTCAGGGGCCAGGTTATAGCTCAGTTGGTAAAATGCCTCAAAGGCAGGAGACGCAGGTTCACTGTGTGCCACCTGCAATCCCAGAACTTGGGCTGAGAAACGAGAAGATCAGGACTTCAAGATGACAAAGTAGTGAGTTTGAGGTCAGCCTGGAATTTATATTTTGTCTAAAAGGGAGGAGGAGTCAGGAGTGGAGGCTGCAGCACGACTCCTCAAGGGCACACGTCGGAAACTGAGGCTAGGATGAAGGCCTGGAATCAGCCAGCATTTATTCTCTTTAATTTTTTTCCATGTATGTGTTTTTGCCTGCTTGTCTGTATTTATGTGCCCAATGGAGGCCAGAAGGTGGTGTTGTATCCTCTGGAGCTGGAGTTACAGGTGGCAGTGAGCCACTAAATGTGGGTGCGGCGAACTGAACCCAGATCATCTGCAAAAACAGCAAGCGCTCTTAACTTCTTCACACAACTCTACACAACTTCCAGGAGCAGAACTGAGACCATGATTAGGAGACCACACCTTGACCAAGACTGCTTAGCTAAGCCTCGGGTTTTCCTCTATCTAAATCTAAAGCTTGTGTCAGTAGCCGAGACAGACTCGGGGTCTCTGGACCCTTCGATTTGTTCCTACTCCAAGTGTGGTCACTTTGATGAAGCGCTTCTCTTTTCCCTTCCCTCACCGCTCTTTAATTAGCTATTAGTATAACGGGCTGAGCCCAGCCTGCTAGACTTCACACTTTTGCCCTAACTCGATCTGTACAGGAGGAAGACAGCAGGAAGACAGCATTTTCAACAATGCAGAAGACATTCCAAAGCACAGTCCTGGCACAGGCCACAGGTTTCTTTTCTAACACACACTGGGGAAGCAGTGCTTCTTTTTTAGTGATTTATTTATTTTTATTTGTCTGAGTGTGTGTGTGTGTGTGTGTGAGAGTGTGTGTGTGTGTGCATGTGTGTGAGTGTGTGTGAGGCATTGAATCGCCGTGGAGCTACAGTTGTCAGGGTTTTCAGTTTTCTGTTTTCAGGGTAAATTGCCTGATAGGGTGCTGGGAACTGAACTCAAACCCTTTGCAGGAGCAGGATCTGCTCTCAACGACAGAGCCATCTCTTCAGCCTCCCACTCCTACGCCTGGGAAAAAAAAGTTAACTTTCTTAATTGTCAGCCTTTGGAGTGGTTCTGAGGTTTCTCTTAGAGTAGATCTAGGTCGGTGGGAGATGCTGTAAACCTTTTCTAGCTCAGAAAACTGTCTGGCTCTGTCTAACTCCTTCACTTCCCCTGCTCTATTTGCCCCACACAAATCCAGATAGAAGCAATATCTCCATGCAGTTTATTGTAAAAAAAAATAAATAAACAAACCTAGTCTGTTCCTAGTGGAGACTATCTCACCCGTGCCTACATTCTGAGTGGCATCAGCAACTTGTACTACCAGATGAGGTGACCAGCTGTGGCGGGCATCAGGATAGTGCTACAAATCTATATGGCCTCTATTTTCATGTCTCATAGAGTAGGTATACAAATTAACATTGTGTCATTTGGATTTCTGATACATGCTTTGAAAGTAATTAATAGGGATATTTGAATCTGTAGCGGTGTATGCTAGTAATCTTAGCTCTCTTGAAAGCTTGAGGCAGGAGGTGTTAAATCTCAAATGGGATTTTTCTACCTCACCTCTGATCATTCAGTTCTGGATGAAAGACACAGCTTTTATTATTATAACAAGCCTTAATCAGCACTAGAGCTGGACAGGTATGTACCCTCTATGCTATTCTGTCTACTTCCCTGCCAATAATCCCACAATATGACCTGCCATGTTCCTTCTGGGCTGCTTTTAATTCCAGTTGGCCAGCCCTCATGGCCATGATTTTATGACTCACTTAACCCTTAGCATCTTCTCTCTCTCTCTCTCTCTCTCTCTCTCTCTCTCTCTCTCTCTCTCTCTCCCCTGCCTATCTCAATTCTTCCCAGCTATAGGCAGTAGGCATCTTTATTCACCAATCACAGATAACTTGGGGGGCAAGGTCACACAGGGGTCCTTGGGTCTCTGCAGATTCTCTCGTTGCTGGAGGCGACCAGGCCTTTGGGGCCAGTATTTCAGTTACAATACATAGTAAAGGACCAAAGGTCAACCAGGAGGTCTAGACTGAGTGACTTGGGTCTGTGTGCAGATTCTCCCATCCCTCTCAGGGAGTAACCAGACTGTCAATTCATAGCAAAAGACCACCCCCACCCCATCCCCGCTCAACCAGGAGGTCTAGACTGGGCTACTTAGCCAGACTCTGTCTCAAAAAGAAAAAAAAAAAAAAGAAAGAAAAAAATCAGAGAAGGGAGTACAAAGGAAAGGTTTGGGAGACAAAGAAGTTGCCAGTCCTAAAACCCCAGAAACAGAAGGATCTCAGTTGTTTACAGAGGACAGCATAGAGACAGCAAGGTGTGGAAGAGCAGACTCTATCAAGTTCAGGGCAAAATGGCTGAGGTCAGGGAAGCTGCTCTGCAAGCCTGGTCAGGGAAGGGACAGTTGTGCCCTGAGGCTTCTGGGGATGAAAATAAAGTCACCTTCTCAAATAATGGCAGTGCTGCAAATAGTGGCATTGTGCCGAGCTCAGTGGCACATGCACAGTCCTTGGGAAGCAGAGGCAGGAGATCTGGAGGTCCCTCTGGTCTACAGAGCAGAGTGAGTCAGGGCTACATAGAGAGTAACCTGGCTCTGGGCTCTCTAAGATACAGAGGGAAGCCCAGTTCTCCCTACAGTTGTTTGGTTTTAGAGACAGGGAACTCACCATGAAGACCAGGTTGGACTCAAACTTATGGAGATCTACTTGCCTCTGCCTCCAGCCTCCTGAGTGTGGGGGATTATCGATGTGAACTCCCATGCCTGGCTCAGCTCTTGCTTTCCTGCGATTCTCTATTGCATTCCAGTAAGATCATTCCAAAGATGCTGTAGCTGTTTGGTTTACCTACCAAGCCTCACCTGCAGACATTTCTCCAGCTAGCTTCTATTCTATATTTTAAAATCTATAGCAATTTGGTTACTGTGACTTCATATCTTGAGTAGTAAATTTTCTGAAATATAAAATTCACCTGAATCAATGTGTCATTTGCTTAATAAATCTGAAATCTTGGTGGGAAAAGAAGAGAGAGGGTGGTAACTATGGTAATTTTCTAAGTGTGTGAATTTTCAGAGTCTTTCAATGCAGTATTCCTCAGTCTATATTACCATCCATTTCTCAACACTAATGCTTGTGGCTTTGAGCACTAACGGCTGTGGACATAATTATATACTAAGTTTTTGCAACTCTGAGGATGGAACTCAGAGCCTCCTGCCTGCTAAGATAACATTCTACATGAGAGGAAAGCCCTAGCCCATAACTAACAAAAGACAGTCCCAGAGAGAAAATTATCTTTAATGTCAGGAAGAAAATAAACAAATACTGAGCTTTTGCAATTCCTCCCACAGCAGTTATCACGTTTGTATCTCTGTTCAAGGACCTACACTTGGTATCTCTGGGAAGCCAAGTTTAAACTACACAAGACTGTGGTAGATGGACATCTTTGTGAGACTAACCAGTCTTGAACCTACCTAGCCTTATCGTCGTCTTTCATCTTATTTGACAGGTACTTAAATTTAAATTGAACCCATTTTATTTCTTGTTCCAATCCTGAAATAAAACTTTCACATAGCCTTTTGTTTTTGCTTGCTTGCTTGCTTCCTTTCTGAAACAGAGTTTCTCTGTGTAGCTCTGGCTGTCCTGGAACATGCTCTTTAGAGCCAGGCTGGCATGCCTCTGCCTCCCGACTGCTGGGATTCAAAGACCACCACCGCCCGGCTTCATATGGACTTTTAAATTATTATTTATTTAATTTATGTGTGTGAGTACACTGTTGCTGTCTTCAGACACACAAGAGGGCAACAGATCCCATTACAGATGGCTGACCACATGGTGGTTGCTGGGACTTGAACTCAGGACCATCTGGAAGAGCAGCCAGTGCTCTTAACCACTGAGCCATCTCTCCAGCCCCTGTCTTTGTCTCTTCACACAGACTTTTAATTTAAGTTATTAGAGATTCCTAGCTATCACTGTGGTTATCACAGGCTAAACTTGGATCCTATCTTTCAAGACAAAACAGCAGCTGGAAGGACGCTCCCTAAGGCCCCAAGCCCCAGTCCTCTGTTTGGGCTCTTTCAACGCTGTGTGGTGTAATTGTGTCTTGCATAGACCTCTTGGCAGTAATTGGTTTGATGACTTGTTTTTTAGACTTCAGTCATTATTAAAAATGCTACGGAAGCACAGTGAGGATGCCCTTGACACACATTCTATTTTCTGGGAAAAAAATTGCTACCAGAGTAATTGAGCTGGGAAGCTGAGACAAATTGCTCTCTGCGGGTTCCACAGTGGTTCAAAGTACCGCAGTTGACTGGAATAATCATACTACGCAGTTTTCCTTCCTTCCAGCAGTTTGCAAGATAACTACAATTCTAGCACAGCATCCACGGGTTATCTGCAAGCTAGATGCGAGGCAAACACAGTTGGAATGAATCTGGACCCTAAGCAAAGGTGCACCCCATTTCCGGAGGAAAAGGAGTCTCCTTGAGGGTCCAGCAAGGATGCATTTATTTGGCGCAGCGCTCCCAGCGCCTGCAGCTGGCTGGAGCCGGCGGTGACATCACGAGCCCGGGCAGGCCACGTGACCCACGGCCTCTCCTCCCCCGCCCCCTCGCGTCGCCGCGGTCTTCGAGCCCAGTGTCCCGCCGCAGCGGCCACTCGGAGCTCTCGGTGCAGTGCGAGCCAAGGGTCGGGCGAGCGGTCGGAGCGTCTGGGCGCCCAAGGAGAGGGGCAGGAGCAGCGGACCGTGCGAGCGGAGCCCGGGACGAAGCGAGTGACGCTCTCGCAAACTTGTGCGAGCGCCGGAGCTATGAAGATGGTCGCGCCCTGGACTCGGTTCTACTCCCACAGCTGCTGCCTTTGCTGCCATGTCCGCACCGGCACCATCCTGTTGGGCGTCTGGTACCTGGTGAGCGCGGCCGGGCGCCAAGGGGGCCCCCGGGGTCCCCACGCGCGCCGTCCACCCCGCGCCGCTAAGTCGCTTCCAGGTCGGCTTCGGCCTGGGGGCCGCCCGCGATCATCCGCCTAAAGTTGTATTATTAGAAAGTTAATTCTCGGGGAGAGCCGGGCTGCAGTGGCCGGGCCATGCGTGTGTGTGGGGAACGGGGCCCTGCGAGCTGCTGACCGGGCATGTTCACCCCTGTGCGGCACCAGCGCTGCAGAGCGTTCGCCCTCGCCGAGTTCGCGTCCGAGCAGAAACGGTTGGGAAGTTCTTGCCCTTCTCGAGAGGGTTTTCCCGCATATGCCTGTTTAAAGCTCTTACACAGCGTTCCAGTTGGCTTGGAGAAGCCATCTTAACAACCACTCAGGTTCCTGCCCGAGGACAGGTGATCCCTCTGAACAGGCACGGCGGGCAAATTTAGTTTTTTTTTTTAAAAAAAATGGGCTTCAGGTTGGCGCTCTTAAGCAACGTCTCATTTGTGTCGAGAACAAACGGTGATTCTCTGGGGCAACGAGTTTGATGGATTCTTGCCCTGTGGCGCTGCTGTGGTTGATGGTTGGCAACCTTGGACTGAGTCAGATTCCTCAGTATTTTGGATTTTGCGACATCATTTTAGCGAGTTAGATCCGAGCTACTTGGCAGTGAATAACGCTGCAGGACAAAGAAGTGTGTTTGAAAGTGGTAGTTAAGTGGCATATAAAACTTTTTGGTTAGAACACATTCTTGGCTCTCTTTGGTAGTTTTGAAAAAGATATAATGTACAGTATTGAATTGTAAACTGCCTTGTGCCATTTTAAACAATGCATTCCCCTTCCATGTGATGTTACTGTGCTATTTATAATCTTAAGTTTTCTTTAGTTGGGTACATTATGGCCACATAATAGGAATTTTAGCCTTAAAAGCTTTCCAACAGACCGTTGGTATATGTGGGTTCTGGCTGTGCAGTGTGAATGCAGATTGAACATTAATGCATTGGCTCAGTCCTGACTTTGCTTAAAGCCAAGGAATTTACAGGAATTTAAAATCATAGTTGGAGTGTGGTAAGTGGTCTCAGGTAGTGCTTTTATCGACGGTCAGTCAAGGCAGACGGCCGTCCACAAATGTCTGTCCCCTCCTCGGAAGTGTTCAGATCTGCAGGCTTGCAAATGCTTCTGTGGGTGCAGTTCGTAAAATCTAGGGCATTGCATTAGGCAAATGCACTGCATGATCTATGGGAGAGATAAATCTACTTGAGCCTTGTTGTTGGCAGTCTTCCAACCTTGCTGTATTGGTGTGACAAAAGCAGACTTCTCCTTCGGCTTCCTTTCCTGTCAGAGCCTGCCCTTTGTGAGGCATATGCAATTGGAAATTCAGCTATTTGCATGATAGCTTCCTAGAAGACAGGAAACCAGGGTCAGGCACTCACCCACCTTGTCTATACAGAAATCTTTTCTATTTCACAAGACTATTGAAAATTTCTTGTTCAGTAGTTGAATTCCCCTATAGTTTAGAATACAAATGGCTTTTCTAAGACCTTAATTTCCATTTAAAAAGGTTTAAGGTGGTTGGGGTCTAAGGCCTAAGGAAAAACCAGGTATCTACCTCTCCTTCCTTCAGAACCCCCACTTCCCTACTCCGGCTCACCTGCCATGTGATCGTGTATAAGAAAGAGTTTTCTGGGAAAAGAGCTTCAGATAGAGTCCAGTGTAGACTGAGCCTAAATAAACTGTACTACATGACCTAAGGGAGAGAAATCTAGGGGAGCCCTGCAGTTGGCAGGCACCCAGCCATGCTGTACTGGTGTGACAAAGGCAGACTTCTCCAAATAAAAATCATTCTGTGATTTTTTAATTGCGTTTCGAATCCCTGCTACTGACTAGGCCTTACTAGTATTAACTTTTTACTAACTAACCCGTTGCTGCATGCTATTTTACTCAGTAAGCTAAATTTAAAGGTTCCTAGTGAGGTTATTTTTCACTCCTGGTTTAGGGATGAAAACAAAAGCTAAGCGCGTGAGGTTTATTTCAGCCCTTGGTTACAGCTCATCTGATAGTCCTTTTTTTCTTTAGTCTTTTAAAAAGTTGTGGTTTCGCCTTGACTATCCAAGGTTTTCAGGAATAAAACATTGATTCAGCTATTAGAGTTTTCTTTTTATTAAGTTAACATTCACGTACGTACGTGAGATTCACTTGTTACTTGAGCAGTCCATTGACAATGTATATGCCAGTATTACTAACCCATATCCCTAGAGAAGGTCTGAAACGCCACAAGTTTTCTTTGCCGCTTCCTGGTCCTATTCAGTGTGTCAGGCAGGGGCATAGGCCACTCTACAGCTGGTCTTACTGTGTGCCCCTGCATTCCTTTCCTGTTCCTTTCACTTAGAGGGCGTAACTTGTACTTTCCTGGTGTTGGAGTCTGTGATAGGCTTATGTTTGGCTGCTTAACATTATCCTATTCCATGAATATACCGAATCTTATTTGTGTATTTCCCAGAGATTGAGTTGTTTTTAGTTTAGGGCTATTATATGTATAGGCAACTGTTCTGAACCTTCTTAAGCAATATTTTGTTTCTAGACATATGCTTGTATTTCCAGTGGGTGGAACTGTTGCTTATTGGGTGATGTATGTTTGACTTACCCAGCGCTGGCCGGTTTTCCAATCTGGTTGGTTCTACCGGTTTGTTCTGTTGACTATACTAGTGTACGAAGTGCTGATTTTCTCATGGACCATGGTGTTTGGTGCTGTTGGTCTTAGAGTTTAGCATTCTAAGTGGCACACAGTGCTACACTGCTCTAATTTGCATTTCCCTCACGAAGAGGGATGTGGAAGAATTTGACTTTGGTTATGAACCAGTTGCATGTCTTACAGTTTTTATTGAGCTGTCTCATCAATTTGTAGAAACTCTCTACGTACTTGGATACCAATTTTTTTGTTAAATATGTATTTGTGACTGTAATCTCCCAGACTGTGCCTTGAAAACTCTT